TATAAATTTTATTATATAAATTTTCATCAATATTTTTAATGATCATTTTTTTACTACATTTTATCTCTCCATTACAATTACTTTTGTATCTAAATACATTTTTTATTATCAATTTTAATCTTATAATTATAATAATCAATTTCATTATTATAACAATTAATCTCATATTTATCATTATTTTTAATTTTATCAAAATTAATCTTACCGTTTATCTTTTAACCACCTTACTTTTGTACTCTTAGAATAGTTTTATGCGCGTCAAATCCCTAAAATATTGTTGGAAGAAATCCCACAATTTTACTTGAAACATTGTATAATGTGAAATTGGAAAAAAAAAAAAAAAAGAATCTGTGGACAGAAGATGTAGAACAGCTCGTGTTCATTCTGTCTGCGCATCATTTGTATAAAATTTTTACTTTTTGTGGCTGTCAAACAGGGAAAAGAGAATAGAGCCTGGAGAAGAAAGTTGGCTTTAGCTGTACTGAGGAACATGATTGTCAAAGGGAAAATTGATTTTTCCAAGTTGTAGGTCCATTCAAGCTTGGAAATGTGCAAGAAAGAGAAGGTTAATGGTGACCTACTAAATTGACCTTGTCCATGCATGTGCACATTTTGGAAATTAAACCTCTTTTTTCCTTGTTACTTTGTAATAGATTATTCTTTACTCTTTTTGGTGGGATTGCATTTTGCAATTTTCTATAACATCTGATTTTTTCTTACAGGCAATATATTCTCGTGTTTCTTGTCCTTAATAATTCAACATATAATAATGAGGGTTTTATTTAATTCCATTCTTTCACGCAATCCAAACCAAATGAATTATATACAGCAAAATGTATACTATTAAGATATTTTCATTAGATTTTTGCTCACTTTTAGAGCATTTATACATATTATTATCTCTTTATTAAGTAGGTGCTTTTAGGAGAAAAGAGAAAGGCTTGTTAAGTGGCAAGTCTCAGTGCGGTAGGACGAAAATATTGTTTGGCTCCATAAGCCATTACACCGTCACTGAACAGGTCCTTTTACAATGGGAAAATTTCCACTATTATGATATATATATATATATAGCTTATCAATTGGGAAGAAAAAGGATTAGAAGGTGAGTGTAGTGAACTAGTGAAGTGCTTAAACAATGTTGATGTTTTTCCTTTTTTGGCTTTGTTCAAAGAAGGAAAGAGAAAAAGAAAAACATGAAGTTTAATAGATTAAGCTTTGTCATCTCTCGAGGAATTAAACAAAAGTCATCAATTAAAAAGATAACATAAAGGAAGATACATATTTCTTAAGATTTTATGGGGACATTAATGGTGATAAAGTCCCTTTGAAATGAAGACATATAACAGATCATGCATTTGAAAGCCCTCTCTTCTTTTATATGTTTGTTCAATATATGGTGAAAGTGGGGCATTGTCTCTTGTTGAGGCGTTGCGCTCACCAAGGATGCAGGCATTCAGTCTAGTTTTGAGGTGAAATTAAACACAGCATATCACAAAAAAGTTGGTGACCTACCAAGAAGAAGGAGGAAAAGTTCCTTTTTATCCATTCAATATCCCACTTTCTAGAATTTTGCTACTTTTCTCGTAGCATTGGATTATATCATTATATATATATATATATATATATATATATATATATACCCATCATCAGATAGACGGATTTGACCTTTGTTTCTATATTTCAACGCTTCATTTCACCCGTTCCTCTATATGATTTTGAATTCTCATTTGATGCATGATTTTGCTCATTTATCTGTCTTCATTACTTTTTGCATTAGCAATGTACCCATGGAAGTTTTCCTTCTCGGAAACAAGAGTCGTAAAAGCTCAAAAACCTTTTACTAATGTTACATTTGTTATACATGGTCTCTTATTTTTGTGAGAATAATTATAATTTTAACATATTCATTATATATGATTATTGGTGTATTTATTAATCATATTGTACTTATCAGTGGCTTAAATGATCATATCATTTGAAAAGGAACTCTTTTCGACTTTGCAATGTTATGATGATCAAAGTTTTTTTTTCTCTCTTTAAGAAGAAAAAAAAGCATTAATTCCTAAACCATTATGATCTATAATTATTGTTATAAAAAGATGAAATGATATGTTATTATGTGGAGAAAATCCATGGAAAGTGTTGCAGCAATTTTTTTATGAAGCACTTTATCTTAATGCATGATTAGTGCATAAATGCTATATACATTGTCCATACATTTGCATATTATTAATTAGTAAATTTAAAATTTTTAAATTTTTAAAAATAAATATTTTTAAATTTTAAATATTTAATGAGTTTATATTCGATATACTGTTAGTATATAAATTTTATATACTATCACTGAATTAAATAATACCAACTCATTAATACAAATTTTTTGCAAAAATTTTTTTTGTATATATTTATCTTAAAAGCTAATAAATAATGTTTGAATCATTGATTATTAATAATGTGATATTATCTGATTTACAAACAGTGTATAAAATTTATACACTTACAATACATCAAATATTAACTCATATTTAATTATGTTAAAACAAATTAATAAAGTGATGACTTATGATGTAACGGTTGTGCATAATATTATACATTGATAGTGTATCAAATATAAATTATATATATGATAAATTATCTAATTAATTATTGTTAACCTTGAATAAGGGTGTAATCGAATCAAGTTGAGCTGATACAGTGAGAAGCTCGAGATACTCGACTCGAACTCGATCAAGTTTCATTTTCTTAACTTGAGCTCGATTCGTGATCAAAATCGAGCTAATCGAGCTACTCGAGCTCGTTCGATTAACATGTAAAAATAAACTCGATTCTTATACTCGACAAAAGCTCGATTTTTATGCTTGAACTTGAATTCGAGATATTTTATTAATTAAAATAATAAAAAATATTTAAATATAAAAACTCGATTAGGCTCGCGAGCTACTCAAACCGAGTATAAGAATACTTGAACTCGACTCGATCGATGAATCAAGTTACTCGAGCTCGACTCGATAATAATCGAATCGAATTCGAGTTTTATTCAAATCGAACCCGAATAGCTTGCGAGTACTAATGTATCATTTACACGCCTAACCTTGAATTGATAAAATATTTTGAAATGATAAAATAAAACTTTGTTGAAATTGAATTAAAATAATTTGAACTTAATTTGAATACTTTTTCAACTTTTCATATTGTCAAAAATATGTTCAAATTCATTTCGCATGGTTTAAAAATAAAATTGGGCAAAGTAGCATAGAAGGATCAATCCCCCCTCAAGGGGATCAATTGATACTTTGGCCAGAAAAGATCTTCGTGCAAATTTCATGAAAACCAATTGATCCCCTTCTTGTATGGATCGATTGATTCAAGGGTTTTAAAGATAGGATCAATCCCTTCATGAAGAAATTGATTGATTTTTATACAGAATGAAAATTTAGTTCTAGACTTTGAAAATAAATCGATCACCTGAAAAAGCGATTAATTGGTAGCATGTATGAATCGATTGATTATGGCTTTTCACGCATGAATTTGTTCAATTTTAACTAACCCAATCGGTCTTCCCATAAGAGGGGATTGATTCCATCGTGCCCAGAATGCTTACAATAGTTATTTTTGTCTAAAATTTGCAGAGGCTCTAAATAATTAATGCAAACAATGGCTATCTTCCACTTTTAATATATAAATGAAGGTTTTTCACTACATTTAGAGTAACTTAGAGACAATAAAACTTATTACTTTCATTTACCATCTTCTTTAAACATTAAAGAGAATTTTAGTGTGAAAAAGTGCATAAATTCTTGTTATTTATGATTTTTTCTTGATATTTTTTTTAATCTCGATTTGTACTTCAAATTAACAAACACCCAACCTTAAAAATATTTTTTGAGTTTGTAAAATATTTCAAAAAACTTGTACTGTGAGGTTGTGAGCTTAAGGGGAGGATAACCTTAAGAGATTGTATTGTTGATTGTATAGAACTTTGAAGAGCTAGGTTGTGACATTCAATACATAATGAATTGAACTTTTTGACAAGTGAGGCTAAAGGAGAGGATGTAGGTACATAAAAGAATGATCGAACCTCTATAAATTTTGATATTTGATTTTCTATCTCCATTTTTTGCTTTTATGATCATTAGTACTCATATTTGTTATGTTTATTTGCTTAAAAAAATTAATTTGTGAATTTTTGTTTTTATTGGATATTGAATTTTAAAAAATTTATTATCAACCAATTCACCCCCTTTGAATTAATTCAAATCTTTGAATTAACAATTATTAATGAAATTTTTAGATTTTACAAGTAATGTTAAAAAAATGATACATTCCTCTTACAGTATATTAAAAAAACGAATTAAAAAAAAGACAAGTGATAATTTTTTATTCAACTTATGAAATTAAAATTTATAATGTCTTAGTATAAAAACTAATTCTATTGCAAATATAATATTGCAAAAATTATGCAACACTGATTATAATATACATAATCCTAAGGCTCTGCAGTAAATAGTACAAATTAATATGAAATTAATATATATATATATATATGTATGTAGATTAATTCTATATGCACATAATAATGTGATAATGCAAATAAACGTAACGTTCCACTCGATGGCAATATATATATATATATATATATATATATATATATATATATCATTTGGACTTCTGTATAAAAAGCAGCCCCTTAAAAAATAAATGTTGATTACTAGTATCATTCTAGAGTAAGAGAGACAAGTAGGAAAAACCCTATTCTCCTGTTCTGACATTTCCCATTTTCTACACAATTTTTTATACCAAAGTCTTTCTTTATGCCATATGCCTTTTTTAAGAACCACTTATATAAATATGGCTCTTCTCAGAAACATGTTTATCCTTTCCCATCTTTATTATTAATTCCTTCCTCTCTCTCTCTCTCTCTCTCTCTCTCTCTCTCCTATAATTCTTGCTTCAGTGGAAAGAGAGAGAAAATCAGCTCAGAAGGAATACTAAGAAAAAGTATGGGGAGAGCTCCTTGCTGTGACAAAGCTAACGTCAAGAAAGGCCCATGGTCACCTGAAGAAGATGCCAAGCTCAAGGAATATATTGAGCAGCATGGTACTGGTGGAAACTGGATCGCTTTGCCTCAAAAAATAGGTAAGTAATAACTCAAGATAATCAGTTAATCGGCAGCTTCATTTTTGGTTCTTTTTTCATGTAGAAATACTAATGATCCGATTAATAACTCAAGTAAACTTTGATATAAATGGTATCTGCAGCGGTTTTTAAGAGGGTTGTTTTTGTTTCTTAATTAGGCCTTAAGAGATGTGGGAAGAGCTGCCGCCTCAGATGGTTAAACTATCTCCGCCCAAATATCAAGCATGGAGGATTCTCTGAAGAAGAAGATAAAATTATTTGCAGCCTCTATATTAGTATTGGGAGCAGGTACATGTTTGTGGTCCTAAAATTGATTCATAAAGTTACCAAACCCTATATTTTGATTCATTCAAACAACGGTACATTTTTGGGTCTAATTACTAAACCTGCATGATTGTCAAAGGTGGTCTATTATTGCTGCACAATTACCGGGGAGGACTGATAATGATATAAAGAACTATTGGAACACAAGGCTTAAGAAGAAGCTTCTTGGCAAGCAACGCAAAGAGCAACAGTCTCGTAGAGGCAACAGCCTAAAGCAGGATATGAAGAGATCAGAGAATGGGGATTCCATGCTTCCTGATTACAATAACCAAAGCCCCTACTGGCCAGAGCTGCCTGTGCTGGCGGTGCCCACACCATACTCAAGTCAAGAACAACGCATTGACAGCCAAGCTTCGATGAGAAGATTACTTATCAAGCTCGGAGGAAGATTTTCTGATGATGGTCATGTGGTTAATGATGGGACAACTCTTCACAATCAGTTTCCAAATGATTCATCTTCCACTGATCAGCAACTTTACGAGCAAACTGTCCATTTGCTCTCTTCTTCTTCTTCTTCTTATTCTCCCATGGATGCCTTAAACAATATTAATCGTGGTACTCAGTTTGTGAACTGCCAGCCCACTATAGATGGAGCAAATCTGCACATGCTGCAAGGACAAAGCAGTAGCTTTTCATCAGAACTCCAGGAAATGGCATATAGCAACCCACAAAGACTAGATGGAATGGAGTTCTTATTTGGAGAAGACATGGTCAATAATAGAGCTGTGACTAATTCTTGTGAAAGCATTGTCTGGGGTGATACAACCTCTCAGCTGGTTTGCCTTCCTGTTGCTTCAGATCAATATGGAGGCATACAACAAGGAATGCTGCAAGAATATGCTTTCAGTGAGTTAAGGTACCCAGGAGCACAATAGCAGGATATAAATGGAATGTATTAAGTTTGGAAGTAATAGGAAAGGGCGGTGTTAGATTAATTCGAGAGATAAAACCCTAATAACAATCTCGTTCAGTTATATGCTTGCTTTCTTTTGTTTATGCTTTATATATATATCAATAGTGACTGTAATTTATCTCACTATCATTTGTATCTTCGAGAGTTATTTCCTTTTAATTACTGTGTTTTTCATACTCATTCTTCTTATGCTGATGTTGAACTAGGGAATTCTGAAGCTTCATGACTTGTTTTTGCTAACTGTGGGCAAGTAAATCAACATATCTCAGATGATGGTATGCATTTTCTTACATTATACATGCATGTGTCATATTATAAATACATGTCACAATGTTCCTTGGAGATCCAAAACAAGCCGCAGCTAGCATGCTAGATTCCTTTAAAAATCCATTATAGTTACTGCTATGCTCTTGCTGATTAAGTAAAAATAAGTCATATACTTCCCCGGCCTTATTGATGTGTTGGCTACTGGCTAAAACTATTTGCATGCCTCCGAACATATATAAAATCTCCAATAGCTAAAGCACATGCCACCATTCCTTAATTACTACTCAATGTGCTTAAAAGTTGAAACATGCTATAATTGAACATTAGCTCTAGGGTTTAATTAATTAAATAATTAATTGATTTAAAGCTCTCGTTGAAACTTTGTGGTTAATTTCAGTACTTTTGCTAATTACTTAGTTCAATATATAGATATCATCACCAGATCATATCTGATAGCTCCTAAGGGCTAAGGCCTAAGGGATTTGTTGAAGAGAACAATCCCTTCTCTAAGCCCACTACCATAGATTCTGCAGGATTTAAGCATTAATACTTGTTTTTCCATCATCTAGTTATTTCATACTTCTTCTTTACGATGCTCTCTTTATTTCTTAGTTCTGATGTCTGCCTTCTCCCAACTCCACTCTTTTCTCCTTACCTCACTAACAACAACCTTACTACACGAGGGTTTTTTTTTTTGTTTTTTTTTGTCACGAAGAATTAGTCAATGAACTAAAACTATATATATCTTTGGCTTTATACCTAAAATTTCAACAGCCATAATAAAAAGTTCAACAGCAACACTCGGATTTCAAAAAAGATAATCGCGAGTAATTCAATATTCATCCAATTACGTTTGTAGTGCTTGTTTGTTTGCCATAGTTGCCAGAGATTAATAGGAGCACCAAGTAATTAGTCTCTTTTCAGGAAAAGAATTTAAGGATTGGAGTAATAGTTAATTAACACCATAAACCAGCTTAATTCTTTCGAACATGCATGTATAGGGAGACTTCAAGGATTGTGGAATATGAAAAACATTGAATCCCACTGTAAGTAGCAGCTCCTAATCATGCATCCACTTAAATCACAATAGCAACTGATCAAAACATGCCACTGGCCGATATTCAGGGCCTTCAGGATCCCAAGGTATATATATTAAGAGTAGGATCTCTGCTCGTTTGATAGATTAACATGATGCTAAACATTAATTCAATCTAATCGGTTGACTTCATATGCACGTGTGAAAACTGAAGATCCTTCTGATCACTTAACATGACCTAGGCAAATGCGGTAGCAGTATGTATTCTTTTGTTTCATTTTGATATTGTACTTGAAGCAGTAAAAACAAAAGTTGCAGCTAGTCATATATATGAAGTAACATTCCAAAACCAGCTAGCTCGGCTAGTATTGATTTTCAGAATAATCTTTCACTTCAGTCTTGGAGAAACCAAACTATATCTAATTAACTAACTTTTCATATAAATAATCTAATTAAAAGTGGAAAACCAAGGCCAGTTTGATGTATGCATGCACATTTTGAAGTTTGAAATTTGAAGGAGGCCGGGGGGAATTGATGACTGAACAAGTTCAAACTTAGGGTTTTGTCACATTAATTTGATAAATGTTTCAATACGTGAGAACGTGGAAATAAATGAAAACGAGAGGGAAATCTAGTCTTAGATATTGCTCTCTGATCATAACATTAGTGTTGATTAGGGTGCCATTAATATGGTTGACACCCTTTTCACCTAACTAGCTCTAAATCATTTAACCATCAGTTTCAGCTAGCTAACTGGGTCGCATTTGATCATGATATAGAGGCAGTGATCGTTGATAACTTTCACTACTTTTGGTTTCAATCAATATCAAAAGTTGAAGAGTCCCATTAATGTACCTTTCTAGCTTGGCGTCTTCAAATTGATGTAATTTTTCTCTCACAGCTCATTGCAACTAATCCTTTCATTCAAAGAGAAACTATATAAACTTCAATGTGCACTTGTGATCTTTGAGGTTCTAATTTCCATGAAATTGATCTGAGTTAAATTAAGTTATCAATTATTAATCAATACTATATTGTGCTATTGGCTAAGACTCATGTCAATTATTTTTGGGTATTTAATTTGTTTCCAAAATCAACTTTGGCTACAATCCCATCTAACTGTGCATCAGATTCCAAAAAATCACAAAAAAATCCAGCTTCTCCATAAATTAGGTTGGCTTAAGATCATTATCTCCAAGGTCAAAAGCCTTATTATTATGTAATATTATTGGACTCTTCAGTGGCTGACTCTATAAGTAAACAAATAGATTACAGTTGTAACAATTGGGATCGAAAAAATGCCTTTTTCTGTTGACAATTTTTCTTGTTTGGTAAGCCATATGGTCATGATATCTGTTAAAATTGGTTGACAAATTCCAAAAACCCTACCTGTTCTCTGTCAAGCTATTCAAAACCTTTGGCCCCATCACCTAAACCAACCCAATTAGTACTTAATAAATACTACCAACAATATATCTTGAAATATATTAGCAACTAGCAACTCAATTACATGTGATATATTTCCTTCACATGCTTTCACAAGTCTTAATTTTAACCCTTTTTCATATATATTTTCCTCTCTTCCCACAACTCTTGAAGCTTGAAATCAGTAGTATTTTTTTTCAGGTTTTCAGATTTTCAAATTTATTTTTTATTCGATCATTTTTAATAAAAATGTCACGAACTTGACCTAAAAAACCTTATTCAATTTTTGCTCGAAATATTTACAATGTCATGCACTTATAGAATGCAATTATAATGATTATATAGGCCAGACAGGCCATGGCATAAGCCAATAATTCTGAAAAACAATAATATTAGTTGTAGCCATTAAACAACAAGCTTATAATTAATATTTCAACATGTAAAGCAAGAAAGAATATCCCTGATGAAGAAGAAGCAGAACAGAAAAGGTCCAAAAGAAGAAACCAAGATTTCCAAAATTTGACCTATTAAATGAGAGCCACATTCCTTCAAAACGATGATGATCGATAATAAAACCAAAAGCATCCTTGATTAAGGCCCCTGTGCCTGGATTGGAAGATGCCCCCCTAGCCATGACAACAACCAAACGACGACTTATTTTCCTACTTTTTAATATTTTATTGTAAATCTTGTTTTATTAAAGAATTTGATTTTTGTATGATAAAATAATTTTTTTTTATTTTATAAGCAGGTTAAGAAATAAAATAAATTTTTTAGTTTATAAACAGGTTAAGAAATTATCGCATCTTTTATTATTTTATTATTTTTTATTATGTTCTAAAGAATATGTGTCATCTTACTACAATAAATTTTAAAAATTATGTGATAATGTTTTTATTAAATTAGTATAATCAAATTATATATTAATATATATATAGCTATTTTGGTTTTATGTATGGTGACAATGACACTCACTAACATGAGGAAATTCTATTGCTCCTGTCCAGGTCTTGGATTTATTTAAATATAAAAAACAACAATATTATAGCATCAAAATCAAATTTAGGTCTCAATTAACTCTATTTTCAAGGGAAGATAGCCGTCGAAGCCTTTTATTTAATTAGCTTTGTAAAAAGTGGGATTGAGAGATTATGATAGAACAGTTCTCTTGGGCTTGCAATATTTTGTCATTTTTTTTATATACTAAATTAATTAATACTGAATTTAAAAAAAAAAAAAAAAAAAAAAAGCACCCAAACTTCCGGCTTCTTTCATGTTTATGATTCAACTCCAATAGGTGTAAAGGTGTTTAGAAAGAAACAAATAATCCTTCATTATTCAAAAATTTTTTTCTTTTAATGATGAATCAGTTTCTAATTAAATTAAAACATTTGCTTGAAAGTATGGCCAGCTGTCCTGCATTCTAGTTTTCATTTTTCAGTCCTTTGAAGAATTATAATTCATTTTATATGCACTATAATTATTTTATGTGACCCTCCCAGTACATGGGGATGTAGCTCAGATGGTAGAGCGCTCGCTTGGCATGCGAGAGGTACGGGGATCGATACCCCGCATCTCCACATTTTCCTTTTTCTTTGTGGGTATTCTGATCCAAAAAAGCCCAATCAGACCCTGAGTTTTTGGATTCAGGTTCGGCCCATAAGGCTCAAAAGATTCAAAACCCATCCCTTCAATCAATGCGCGCCCTGCTAAACCCCACAGACAGAAGAAACCGATGAAGAGAGGAAACCTCTGGTCATTCCGAGGAAAGCCCACATTTTCCTTTTTCGTTGTGGGTATTCTGATCCAAAAAAGCCCAATCAGACCCTGAGTTTTTGGATTCAGGTTCGGCCCATAAGGCTCAAAAGATTCAAAACCCATCCCTTCAATCAATGCGCGCCCTGCTAAACCCCACAGACAGAAGAAACCGATGAAGAGAGGAAACCTCTGGTCATTCCGAGGAAAGCCCATGAGTGCAACTATGGCGCTTTTGGCGTCCTCCGTGTTGCCTTCAACTCTGAATATTAAGGTGCTGCATCAACCTATTTGCTGCATTTCTATAATTCAAACTATAATCTGAACATAAATTTGCTTCAGATATGGAAATGGAGCTTCAAATTAACACGAAGTTCAGTTTTTCTTGTTGAGGGCACACTTTTTTAGAAGCTTATGTCAGTGAAATCCTTGTACAGGTTAAGCAATTTGAACACCAGCCTTCTTCTCAGCTTCATGGGTTTCTTTTGCAATTAAATAGTCATCGTCAAGTCGCTCCAAAATGTCGCATGAAAACAACAAATGGCGCAGTTTGGGGTGCCAAATAAGAATTAGGAGCAACACAATATCATCAAGGAGAGGTTATGGGAGAAAACCTCTGACTCTGTAAAAGATTCTCCTTGGAAGAAAGCTGAGAATTTGCTGCTGGAGAAACTACTTTTTTTTAGGAAAGAAAGCATTGAAGTTGTCTCTTGTTGCAGTTTTTGTTTTGAGCTGTCTGTCTGATTTTATATATTCTATATCCAGCAAACAAGAATTGATGATACCCTTTGGTCTCATTGTTGGGTTGTCGATGACTGATTTCTTAAAAAGTGATATCCCAAGAAGCATTTTGCAGCTCCGAGGTATGCTCTGTTCGTAAATTTTCTGTGTCTGTTTATTTGTGTGCGCGTGCTTATTGTAATTTTGTTTTGCCGTTAAGCAGGGTAAGGGTTTGAAAATGAAATGGCAGCTCTTGGCAATGGGTGGCGTCTTTGCTGTTGTTAAGTTTGTTTCTGCATATTTTGCAATACAAAGACGGGTAGTTCTTTTGCATGTTGCAAATGGTGGATTGAAGCAAGTTTTGTGGCTATGGAGAAGCTTGCTGGAAGAAAATGGAGGCAATTTGTTTTTCGTGCAAGATGGATCTTCATCTGCAGATGCAGAAAGTTAAGTTCTTGAGTTTGTCCAAATTCTTTGTTTTGTTTGTCCAACTACATAGTTATCAGTAAGTTATATAATTGCATGATAATCCGCAAAATCATATCAGTCACACCTTCTTCTACTTCTGCTGTGACAGTTAATTGAACAAAAGAAATAGTGAGTATTTCAAAAACTGCTTATACCCATGATGAAACTCACCTTGTTACAGATTGAAATATCTTCGGCTCTGAAATTAATGGGTAGGAAATTTCATCTATCTGTGATGGGAAGCATATCACATATATATCTCCCTATATAATAGACATTTGCTCAAGGAATTAACCCATTGCGGCCAACAAAAGTAGGAAAGAAACAAAAATTTATAAGACTAACCAAATTTGTATAGAAGAGAGTATTCAAAGAAATGTGGGTTTTCTGCCCTCATTTCAACCATGCGCATCAACAGGATAGAACTCTTTCCTATGAAACTGTACAATGTTGAGTATACATATCAAAGGGCTTTTTGTCTAATTATCTTTGCCCCATCAAGTGTGAATATTAAAACGGAAAAGTAATTCATCATTTGTAGTCTTGTAGAGCAAAAACTGTCGCCTTATGTTCCATTGCCACTATTAACAGAGCCTCTATACGGATGTTTGTTTCTATGAACGTTTTCTAGATTAACAGAACACTAAGTCCCAGCAACCATCATGGTAATGACGGCGCATTTTTGCACAGGATTATAACAGAAGAATAAACCATTTCACTTCAGACTAAGCCTTTCCCTTCCGAAGTGCAATGAACAGCCCACTATTCATTTAGTTTAACTAGTTGATTTCCTGAAAATTTTAAAGTATAGATTCAATCAATTACTATCTGATTCTGGATAGAAGGAACGACCAAGCACGAGAACAACCATACCTGGCTTCAGTGATTCTGGATCTTGGGAACTTCCCTGATCTTTGTTCTGCCAGGTGTTTCCAGCCGTGGACAAATCCTGAGAAGTGGACAAGTCCCGAGCAATTAACGGGAACTGGCAGTATGCTGAACGTAACTGATCATAAATCTCTTCTACCCTACCACACTGCTCGTCTTGTCGATCCATCTCTATAAGAACCTGTACAACCAAGCCATCATAGCAAAAAATGGTTGGGGAGTTTTCTAAAGAGAGATAGAGAGAGATATTTCTATTCTTACCTGTGCAGGACTCCTCTTGAAAACAGGCGAAAACCTCTGCCTACAGTACTCATTGAACAGAAGAGTGAAAAATATTAGGGGAATGGTGAAACCAGAAGCGACTGGTGATCGTTTTATACCAAAGACCCCAAGGGCAATAATCTGCGTCAACACTAAAGAGAAGATCGTTGTGTTGTGAACAATAGGCCAGAACTGTCCCCCACTTTCATATTTTGATACATATACATGGAGAATCTGAAAGGAAAACAAAAAAAAAAACAAAAAGCATTAATCCAAGAACAGGTAAAAGTTCTGACTCGCACTTGACTCAAATGTCATCAACAAACTTATGCATGACCTAACGGTGAATATGTAAATAGAATGCTTCCATAACATCATAATGCACTGTTTTTTTAAAATACATGCAACTTAAAATAGACACTGCAAACACCTTGTAGCATAAATGTGAAAATTATACAAGCATATATATATATATAAAATGTGTAAGCTATTCTACAATACAGAGGAAATTGAAGCTTAGAATGCAATTCCATAAAGCTGCTTTTCTGGAGTTACTGATGAACAACTTTTCTGTAAACAACGACCACATTTAAGTCTTAAAGCTTAGAATATACTTCCAAGAAACAGCTCACTTAGTCTGGAGATTTTTGGCTGTTCACTCCATACTAGTCACCGTTCCACTGCTTAACCTTCTTTCAAAGATTTTCCTTTAACACTTTTATATTATTTCAATAGGGATCACTTTATTGGTGTGTACAAAAACTTTTAAAATGAATAATAATCTCGTGGATACTCCAACAAGAGCTCAATCCACTCAAACAAAATTAAAACATTTTGAGAACTGAAATCTGAATGTCTCAGAATTTTAACCTAGACACTCTTCTCTTCACATTTCGGTTTTTGTTTTATTCTTTCAAAACATTCATATTCACTCCTCTAATATAAAAGCTCTTTACCAGAGAGAATGAACAAGGTCCACTCAATAAAGGAAATAGATCCCTATATATATTAAGAAACTCCGTGGGCACAAACTGAAAGTTACAAACGAAATTGACTATTATTAGATTAACAAAGAGTAAAAGGAGGACATAAAATCGATCAGACAAAAACAAACCTGGTTTCGATAGACAAGGAAAGCAAGAAAGAAGTAAACCAACAAGAAGGGCAATATTAGGGGTGCCATGACAGAACAAGTGAAGCCAAGCAGTCCAAACAGAAGAAGTCGTGGAATTTCAGTATGGTAAGGGAAGGATAGAGCACAATTAGATGACTCTTCCTTGATTCTTAGTATGAATTTTCTGAACACATTGCGAAGAAGAGCAAAAAGTTGTATTACTTCAAAGGACAAGCTTGCCCAGCCTGACGATAAAACATAAGTCGTAAAGAAGGTAGCCTGCAGATACTCAAGAAAACAAGAACAACAACTACAGTTAGTAGTAATCCTGAAGGTTCACATTCACATGACATATAAAAGGAACCAGAAGCAACCTTTGTCCTATGTGACTGTGCTGACAAAAGAGAGGGCATAAAATTGTACTGCCATTTTTAAGACTTTTGCAGTAAGATATTAGGTCTTGCTGTGCAGGCTTGTCAAAACCAGAAGTTTGATATCGGCAATTTAAAAACTCATGAAAAATAATAATTCCAAAAGAATAGTTTAGATACGTAGAAAAAAAGTATCTCATGCATCTCTAATACACCAAGATAAAATCTAAATTTAAATTTAAATGCATCTGAAAATCTGCCGTTAAGTTGGAAGAAGTGAGGTTTTATTAAACTAACTATTACGGAGTGGAAGGAAAATTACCTGGGTTGGCACTGCTTTGGCAAGTTGTGTAGGTATGTCTCTAACACTTGAGAAAACACTCAATTGCCTGATTATGGATCCAGAAAGAATATTAACAAAGAAAACATTCCAGATTGTGAAGTACAAAACTTTAATGCATGCACTCTTTTTCCTCCCACTACGTGAAACATTTCCCTCCACTTTGGAAAACAGCATCATGGTTGGTGGAGCAGCATACAAAAATAACATCAGAATCACACTTGGTAGGTAACCTGTTACTAGCTGGTTCATGAACTTCCTGCACAGAAGAACAAACAGGATGGATTCACAAACAAGTCAAATCTATCCCAGATCCTCTACAATAATTGCTAGATTTCCTCCTCTTTTTAACTCCTTCCAATTTCCACTAATAACCATGAAACAGCCAATTATGATGTATTCAAACACTCACAAAAGAAGCCGCTAAAAACCAAAATACTTCCATAAGTTGATCAATTAGGTGCCAGGTGTACTAGGCTACTAGCTCCTGAATAATTTATTCTCCAGTGTTTATATATATATATATATAACCAATTAAAACCCAACTATTGTAACAAGTTCATGAAATAATTTATATATATATATATATATATAACCAATTAAAACCCAACTATTATAACAAGTTCATGAAATAATTTATTACTCAGAATAAATTAAGTAAATACTGGAACGAGTATAGAAAACTTCATCCAAAATCAGAAACAAAAAATTCATCAGGAAAACACACATTTTGCATTTATACATAGACGTCAGAAGCAAATATATTGCAGTCGTTTGAACAAAGAACAGAGACAGATATGTACCTTAAGGACAAGGGATATTAGCTTTTATCCTTCTATCTACTTGTATGTGCTCATTTATCTATTCTAGATTGCTTTTCAGAGCCTTCACTCTCTCAGTACTGGGCACAACATCTTCAAAATTTAACCATGATACTTACATCATATATACCAATGCACATGAATTCCAAGCATTTTTAATTTCTATGTAATTTCCAAAAACAAGAGAACTAATAACAGCACTCTATTTGTGGATTCTGATCTCCTTAAGGAAGTCAATATAAACTAATGATCACATAGGAGGAGCTTAGAATGGTTGATATAGCAGGAGAAATAGGGTTTCACAACTATGGTTTTCTTTCATGCATTATTTCTGTACAAACGCATGTAGTCTAACATGTTGCAATTTCCATATCCTAATTTGTTGCAATCAGGCATTAGCCATGACTGCAATCTGTAATAATAGCAACATAATAGAGACTAACAACCTAGCAATGCTTTAGCAATAGAGTTTGCAGACTAATACTCACTGTCTTAAAATTCCTTTAAGAAATGGAAATGTATGTGATAGCTGGTCTAGTTGAGTCAAGCCTTGCACAAATGTAACTGGAACAAGAAACACGAACATAAAAACAATAGCACCTAGAAGAGTTGCTATTTTACGGAGCCAAATTTGTTTGTATGGTATGGAGAGGTTTGACCAATAAACATCACGTGGCTCTGGGGCTAGTTGTGTCACCCATAACATGGGATTTGATGATTGAAGAACTTGTGCAGCAACAACAGCAGCATAACGAGTCCTGAAGAAAACAAAAGCAGCTGGGCGTTCCTGCATCAAAGGCCAAAATAACATAGGATATCACATGGCCATTTACATCAAAGTTTTAAAAGTTAATGATCAGTATTTGCTTTCAAACATCAACACCCACATGATGGCAACATGGAATGATAAGATCAAAACCACATAGGGAGAATCTCCATAAAGAAATCAAGAAAATGAGCATGCAGTTGGTAAGGCATAGCAGTTTAAAAAACAGATCTTCAGATAATGTAGTTAGAATTATCAGCTACGGTAAATGCTGTCATCTATAAAAACAGGAGGAAGCTAGTTGCTCAAATTTAAAAATACAACTTACTTTCATGCATCATAATTATCTATAAAAGTTGGTATCTGATCTAACATAAGCTAAAATACCCATCCCAGCAAAGGTTCAGAATGAGATTAATAACATATAAACATCCCAAAGAGCATGCAAAATGCCTTTTAGCATCAAATGACAGCAATTCATAGGGTGCAAAAGATCAGATCTATATCCACTAAAGCTCTTTGTTGTCAGAGGAAAAACTAGATCACATGAACTGGCGATGCTTATAGCACATTAAAATAATACAGAGGAGATATAAAAGCAAAACAACTTTGAAGACTGAAAACAATATCTGAAACAAGTTAGCTTTTGGCAACAAACCACTAAAAAAGGCACACATAAATTATATACTATTTAAGCATACATACTATAACCCTGAAATCAAAACTCATCTTATTCCAAGATTTTCAACCTTTTCCCTTTGAGCTGGTTGCAATCCATCATCGCTGATTTTACTCTTAACACTTTCTGCTTCATTGTTAAGCACCTTAAAGGAATGTGTAGTTCCTCCACAAAGACAACATGGCATAGAAATCTCTCTACACTGTGGCTCAACAGTTTTTAGCACTCTGTACATCTTCTCTGCATCCTTCTGCAAAGACAACATTGTTAGAGAAAATACATAGGACTTGTTACATATTATTAAAAAAAAAAAAAACAGAACATTGTGTGTGTGCAGCGGAGTAGAATGACCATAGAAAAGGTGAATTACAAGTTTATTTTCAGATTACTCATCTCAGTTCAACTCAAAAAATCCCTAATGAGGACAACCAAATGAAATTAAGAAAATTGAAAATTCAGCCAAAATAAGTCCTATTCTAAAATAAGTAAAGAATAATTGTATGGTAACTAGTAGCAAGTCACAATTGTATAATAACACTGAACAAAGTCAATGATATAAAGATTCAAAACATGATCTCAAAATCAAATTGGAAAAAATCAAGATTACCTATTAGAGGTAGTATGCAAAGGGCTCATAATCTTTTACTTCTCTTTTAGCTCTTATTCCATTGAAGAAACTATTTTATATGGTCTATAGAACACAATGATAAAAAGGGAAAAGGAAAGCAACATTTTCTGTTTATCAACACTAAGAGAATCCACCTCGGATGAACAGCAATTCATTCATTAGGTGTCAAGAAAGTAGTGAATAACTGCACTAAAGACACAACCCGCTAACATTTAAAAAAAACAAACCACTGAAGAAAATTTCAAAATTAAAGCCTTTTCAAATAACAAAACTCATATAAATTATGTCAGTAATATAAGTCACTCAATATAGATGCGTACCATTAATTTATCAACTGTACCAGCCCGATATACCATCTGGTGGGACACATAGCTTGCTGGATAATAAGTTGAAAAGAACTTCTCTACCGACTCACTGTATGAATGATCCTGAGACCATGGGATGCCACGGACTAGAACTGTGAAATGACTTGGACTAGGAGGAGATCCAGTAATATGTGCCAACCTCATTTTGGTGATACTTTCATACTCCTATAGCGAAGCAGTAATCTTTAAATGAATGCTAGAGGAAATTTTAGAAAGCATCAATACAAGTCAAACTATATATGAGTAAATAATGCATTTTGGTATGTAAATCCTTACAAAGTAAAGTAGAACACAAGCTGAGCAGGATATGACATATAATGCAAGACAATGGGTCCAAAACCTGGAAAATTTTAAAACAAAAAGAAAAATATCAATAAATAGCTGATTTTCTCCAATCTATTTTACCACAAAACCACTATGTTGGAGTTGCATCTCAATATTTCAACCTGGAGAAGCAACAGTTAATGGAACAGAAAACTTTAAAAATTCATTGTTTTTCTATACTTGAAATCAATTCTTGATTACAATTCTCCCAGGAATCTTATAAAAGTATAAAAGATAATAAATAAAAAACTTGGATTCTTCCTCTTGGTTGCATAAGCAAATATGCTAAAGTAGAATTCTACAGGAAAACTCAGGTCCAAATTTCATTTCTGGTCATCACATTCATGGCTCGACATAGCAACATCCAAATAGCATTTCATTGTAAAAAAGTACTAAAGCAACTATATCATCATAATAATGGGTTCAACAGAACAGACCATTTTGAACCTTCTTTTACATTTCCAATGGTAAATACTTCCAGTGATTCTGCATGGATTTGCTTGTGCTGCATGTCTTGTCCATAATAATTTACTGGAAGCACGAGAAGAATGCAAATCATAGCAGCAATGATGAATACCCGAATACTGCAGAGAACACGAGGAAAATAACAGTGCAGTTAGTAAACCTGCAAAAGAAAAAACAGACACTGACCAACCATAATTGAAATACTAAAGCACTTCAAAAGGTTTTGGATATAATTGCAAGCTTAGACTTTGAGAGAAACTTAGTAGCAAAAATTTCACCAAGAAAATTGAAAGACTTAAAAAAAATTTTCTATCTGGGGAGACTTAATCACCTGAAAACAACTATTCTCATGAAAACTACAGCATCCACACCACCGGCAGCCAATATTTCTTCATCAGTGGCTTGCCAGGCCCTCATGATCCAGCTTGCAGAAGGTACAAATCTTTCAAGGCAGAAAGGATCACTCCACTTTACTGGCTCTGGAACAAGCTTCCTCGTGAAATATACACTTGCATTGCTTGGTTGTTTTCGCAGTATGGAATACAATGACAGTAGCACAACACAAATAGCTATATTGATTCCGGCAGAAGTTAAAAGACCAGCAATGTCCATTCTAATCCCCTATATCCTTTTTTCAAGCTTTAGAAATTTAATTACTCAAGCACTTAGCCAAGGAAGGACACCAATATTACTTTCAATTTGCTCAAAACAGAGGAATGCTTTTGACAACAACGATAACACAGACAGAAGTTTGGCTCAATTTGACACAGAACCAAGTGCTGCAAAATTCATTCGGGAATTGTCATGGTTCAGAAACCAAAAGTTAAACAACATCCTCATCGATCAAATGTTCAAACAAAAGCTTCAACGAAAATTCAAGTAAAAAAAACATGATCTTAAACTAATTGCAGGCGAAAAGCATCATCAAACTTCAAAAAATAAATGAAAACCCTAAATAACAGTTGTTTTTCACTCTAATTTCCTTTCTAGTAATAAAGCTAGCAAATTTCTAAACCTTTATATGCCTGATGAAATTTCTAAACCCTTTTTCTCTTTTTCTTTTAATTCATTTCAATAGTTCCAAGACAAAAGGTTATACAAAACTAAAAGTAATAAAAATTAAATTTAAAATGAAAAATATTCCCAACAACTAATCCAAGGAGGAAATTCAAGAAAACTATATCAATTTGGATTTAAAAAAAAAAAAAAGGAGAAAAAGTAAAGATTAATTAAAAGAAAGTACCTGTGCAGATATCAGAGCCAAAAAAAAAGCATAAGAACTTCGAAAATGTTCTCAAACGCAGAGAGATTCTGAAGCAAAACGATTCGCTTAAAGAAGTAGGAAGCCAAACACTGGAAAATTTTGAGCCTGTTTATTACTTGTACGCCAAATGCCACGCTTTTGCTTTAACTTCAAATATAAACAAAAGCAAATCACTAAAAAGGAAAAAAATCGACCAATTTCCAGAAAAAAAAATTAAGGACCCTGATTTAGAAATAATTTTTAAAAGATTGGAATATCTTTTAAGGAATTTATTGAAAAATTTTCTTATAATAATTACACGCAATTTTCTTTTATTAATGTGAGAAAAGATTCCAGTGAATGCCACGTGCAATGATATTCTTTCCGCGATCCACGTGGCGACAAATCAGGGGGCGGTACAAAAATGTGAGATCTTGCTACTCAGAACCACCTTAACTGTCTCTGTAGCTTTTATTCGTGTCCTTTCTGGGTTCTGTTACGGTGCCTCGCAACCTAATTTATTTAAAGCGAAGTCGCGGTCGGTGACACGAATTGTTGACCTTTAGGAACGAGATTTTGTAATCATTTTGTATATATATTTTAAAAAAACAATCAATAATAATTATATATTAAGAATTTGATTTTGATAGAATATGAGATTTTTTAATTTCATAAGCAAAATTAAATATTACATGTGTTTTATTTTTAATTATTTTTAATTTTATTTATTATACTTGAAAGAATATATATGTGATAATTTCTCCTACATTAATGTATTGGATGTATCCACTAACATCATGATTCATGACTAGTTTACAGGTTTTCCGCATGAAGCATTTTTTAAAATTTATTTTAGTAATTATTCGTGAAGTATTTTAATAAATTTAATTAGGCTTAACTTCTATATTAGTTTTATATTTATTTTATTTTTAAACTTTTAATATAATAAATTTAATGCATGGTATTGTTTTATTAACTACTTTCAACTTTATATTAGAGATTCCATGCATTTTTTTCCCTATCCAAATGTTTAAAGATTAAAATATTGATGAATGGGCCCTAAAGGTTATACATTGATACATGTAATGTGAGCCAGTTATGGGTTGGGCCTAAGTTATATACCTAACCAAATCAAATGGGCTTCATGGTTCAACCTTTGTTTTTCATTTTTTTTAAATAAATTCCTAATGAATGTTTTAAAATTATTTTTAAACATATAATATGTTATTTTTCTAATATTAAAAGAAAATATGATTTTATATAATAATCTTAAAAAAAAATTTTAAGAAACTTATCATCAAAACTTTTTAAAAAAATATTATGTTTGTAAATTACTTAATTTCTCAAAAAATTATATTTTTTCAATGGGAATTGAGAACTTATAAAGGTAAATATAACTATTATAGCATCTTTTTTTTCCTGACAAAAATTATTAGGTTGAGACAAAGATGGGTTTGAAAAGTGATAACCCAAGTGAGGGCCCATTGGTTTGTATTGCGATGAATCATCACCTCAACTTTGCATTTTTTTCTTCTCCAAAAGAAACCATCGATTAGAAAAAGAAAAGCACATAGTTCATAGAAAGTATGAGACAAACTTATCTCCCACTATATAATTTAATACGCCAATAATTTTCATACTATTAGTAACTCAAAACACTTAAACATACTTTTGCTCAAAATGGATCCCTGATTATAATCATTCGCTATTGTAGCTAGTATATTATCATAATTAACAAGTATATGTATTATTTACTAAAAAAAATTAAATTATACTTGGCTGAAAAAAATTAATTCCTATTTTTAAATTTCAATTGCTAAACTATACGAAGATTTTGATTGTATAATTAAACAGTTTGACGGTTCAATAAATCATCCATCCATCTTTAGTACCATTGGATTGAGAATAGAAAGTGGCTTTTCTCTTTAGTCAAATTGGATTGATAATAGCAATTTTATTATGTTGAATATATCTAATCTAAGCTACTAGTAGGGATCACCCATTTTTTTTCTTTTTTTTTTAATTGAAGAGGTCATAGTCTTCAAATAAAAAAATTATAAATAATAAAATTTAAACGTCAAATCTATTAAATATTATTTTTTAAAGATGAGCCGTAATTAATTTTTCTAAGTTGTAATCATATTTTCAGTACACCATATAACCTTCTTCATTTTTCAGGTTTTAAACATATTCTTCCTTATCCTTGCCTCACAGCAACGATAAGGGGGATGGGGCCCATGACATAAGCAATAAGTTTACAATTGACTAGCTTTATTCGTGGAGCTAAACTCTTTTACAAGTCTCAACTTTTTTTGTAAATCCACCAAAAGGGATGTTGCTTTGTGTTCCATCCCTGAGAAAAGCAATTTATACTACTTTATAATTTATATGAATTGACTAGTTGACAAACTATATAATAAATAAAAATAAAACTAAAATAATTTAACGCGTGCTCTTGTTCATCACGATCAGATGACGTTAATTTGCGAACCATGCTGCCATGCAAGTTCCTACTTAAACTAGACATGTTTTGCTGGTAACTGATCTTACCAATCCCGCCACCACAGCTCGAACGATCGACGAAATCCTTGATTCGTCGCACTGCAATTCGAAGCGTTGCTTGGGACATGTTAGCGAAGCAAACTCTGAACCACCCTGGTTCAGTGCAATGGCAAGATGCACCAGGAGAGATGTTCAACCCAACCTCGAATAGAATTTTCTTCCACAGCTCTGTTTCTGCTTCGAATGTATTGGAAGATAAGAGATGTCTCATGTCAACCCAGCAAAACAAGCCTGCATTGCCTTTGAGGTAACCGATTCCTGATTTTTTAAGGCCTGAAACTAGCATTTCCTTCCTCTTCTTGAGTCTCTTTTGGTTCTTCTTCATGTATTTGCTGGTGAATTTCTTGTTTGCTAGCATGTTGGAAAGTAGGTACTGAGTTTGGGATGAAACGAGTCCGAAACTTGACATTTTAGTTGCTGCACTAACAACTGTTTTATTGCTGGAATAAATCATTCCAACACGAAATCCTGGTAAACCTAGGTCCTTGGAAAGACTGTAAATAATGTGAATGCGGCTCCATACATCTTTCTTTTCAAGGTTTCTGTCCATTGCGGCTTCTATAATGCTTATGAAACCAGGAGAGTCAAAGACTGTTCCTGAAAAAACTTCATCGCTTATGACATGAATGTTTCTGGCCATGGCAAAAGTAATGAGGTGGTTAAGCTCGTCCCTAGTCATTGTTGTGCCGAGTGGATTCGAAGGATTCGTTATCAAAACCCCTTTTACTTTGAGGTTAAGTTTTTGAGCTCTTTGGTAGGCATCTTCCAGTGCAGACATGGTAATTCTGAATCCATTTGAGCTCAAGCAATGTACTGGAACAATTTCTACACCAGTCCTCCATTTAAGATCCCTATCGAACCTGCAACAAAATATAGTTAGAATTTATCTATAATATTGAATGCAGTGCATACATGCATACATATGTGTTTGTGTGTCTATGTATATATAGGACTAGGAATTTTTAAACTTACCCAGGGTAGTATGGTGTGGGAAGAAGGATCGCTTCACCAGGATCCGCCAGGCAAAAGATTAAAGTCTCATTAGCTGAAGTTGCACCAGCAGCAAGCACCAGGTTGTTCGGATCAAATTTAACCTTGTTTCCTCTAATTTGTGCCATGTACTCGACCAGTTCCTATACAAGTGAGGTGACCATAAAAAAAAAATATATATATATATATATATATATATACATGTATATAAATTTGTTTCCGATCAGCTTGAAATTCAAATGCCATGGATGTAGGATTTTTTTGGTTAGCAAAGATTAATGGTAGGAATATATAGTTACATTTTTGAAAGAAGCCAATCCGTGATAGTCCTGGAAGAGAGCCAGTTCCCTGAATACAGATTCTCCATCCTTCTTCAGTCCCATGGAGTCTGGGTTTTTTCTTAGCCATGATTCGACCAGGTCGAAAGAAAGCTGAGAGAAGTACACAGTAACATAGATTACCATTTTTGCAATAACATGCAAAAAATAAGATCTCGGAGTAATTAATGAATTAGGTACTACTTTCAATTACCATTTCAATGTTTTTTCTAGAAAACCTCTAGTTTTGTCACGTGGGCTATGTTGTTCTCTTGGGAAGGATGCGAAAAATAAAAATAAAGAAGGAAAGAAATAAGGACTGGGTTTTCACTTTTCATCACTTTATTTTATATACTTTTAAATTAGTAAGAAATATTTTGGTAAGTAAAACTTTATGTATCATTTGGGTTAATCACCTGATTCTCGGCAAGCCCCATCTGAACGATTCCTGTTGGATTGACAGTTTCATCAAAAGGATTTTTCTCATAAACTTGCAACCCCAGGAAGTAGGAAGAATCTTGTCCATGAGAATTGCAGCTAGCCTTGGTTGACAACATCTTTACACCACCTAAATTTTTAGTTTTCCTGGATTTTGTTTAGCCTGAACAGCAGTATTGCTTTTGGGTGACAAAACTTTTGAGATAAAAAGGTGAGGGAAAAGAGAGCTCGATTTTCAATGCTTTTAGGTTTGGAAAGAAGGGAATGATATGGCAATTTATAGAGACACAAAGTAAGTCCCGACAATATGAATATTTGTGAACTGACGATGCAGATTATTTTGACGTCGGGCAGCTTTGGAGTTCTCTAATCTTTTTTAATTTCCATTTTTAATGATTTTGATGCTTTTGCGAAAGTCGATTTATCTAGACTATTTATATTTTAAAACCCATTACTTAGAGTCAAAAATATTTGCTTTAACTTTTTTAATGCAAGAAATTACTTAATCAAAAACTATTCTCCATCTCTTGATTTAATAGTTAAAAAAATTTATGAAAATATAAAAATTTTAGTTTTTGAGTCAAAGTCTCCTTTCACTTTCCATTTTGTAAGGGTGTTATGAGATATATAAAATAAATTAACATATCTCATCACATGTAAATTAAAAATAAAATAATATATCGTATTTAAATTAGATATTAACTTAACATATACAAGATAACATTACTTAATATGTTCATCACGTATAAATTAAAAATAAAATAATTTATTATGTGATAAATTCAAAACTAATATAAGATAATATAAGAAAACTAAATATGATCTTTATATCATGTTAAATGTTTGACATAAAATCAATTGATAACGAGTGAAAAAATCTAATTTATATATAAAATCACAAAAAAAAATGATATTTAACAGACCGCATAACAAATTATAAGATGTACATTAAAGCTTTTAGTTATATAATTAGAATTGATACCTTGATTATTTCTTGTGCAACCACTAGGAAAGAAGAACAAGAAGGAAAATTAGAAAAAGTAAACCCTTCCTCATGACTATAAGAAAGATGACCAATTCTTTTATTGAAATTAAACTTCCCTGTATATATTCATAAACTATAGATCAGTATATATTTAGAAATATTTTGATGATTTCAGCCCTTTAGTTTAGTGTTATATTCGACTTAACTATTTAGCATTATCTTCTTTTAGAGCATAAAAAATTAGTAGAAGGTAGTATACCGACATTCATAGGTCAAAACTCTCATAACTACATCAAGTTGAAAGAGGGCATCCTCGTGGCTAAAGCAAGTCATTGACTTCCATATCAAGTTTTTTAATTAGGTGTTGGGCTCCATTTGTATCAGTGGAATCCACTAATCTTTCTGCACTTAATGACAGTCATCAAACATATATTTACTCATAAATACCTGCACAAAATCTTGGGACTAATCCTACTATCTCCATGAATCTACCTAGCCAAAAGAAAATTGTGTTTTTATCGTATAACAAATAAAAAAATGATGAATAATTATATGATTTGTTGATAAAATGTTAAATTTTTAATTTTAATGATCATTTAAATTAAATTTTTAATAGCTTCAAATACCATGAAAGAAGAAAACAAATAAAAGATTAACTAATAGTAAAGATTACAAATAGTTTTACATCTTAATTGATGAAACCTTCGAATCAAAGGACTCAAGACCAAATGGCCGTATATATAAGAGGCAATGGCGCCCTGGTTATCAAAGAGTTAGCCAAAGCATCAAGATTTCAGGTGTTGCATGGAACATCACCGGAACCATGTTGTATTGCACAGAATACAGGGTAAAAGCTCTGATTATTGGCTGAAATGCCAGATGGCAGAATCTAGATATGTGACAACTGTGGTCCATGGATCACCTGATTGCTAACGTTGGGAAAAATCCCTTACAAAGTGCCCTTGGTCCACTTGATACTCTCAGACCTCAAATTCATGTCGGCCATCTTCTGTGTCTCCCCGCCTCCCTCCCTCCCTCCCTCCCCCAAATTGTAGTATTAAATATGCCTGGTTAATTATGGAGGGAACAAAATTTATCTGATCTCTTAAAGATAATCAACAGCAAAAAAAATGTGTGTTTGCAACCCATGAACCAATCACATGGTCACAATAATGTGGGTATTTTGGATATAAGTCGTAAATTATCTCGTTTGGTAAAATTATAAAGAGAATATTGTTATATATATATATATATGATGTCATTATTACTCTGCTATGATAAACTGGCTATGAAACATCTTTATAATTCTTTGACATGGGGAATTAAATTGACTAATGAAAATGATGCCAAAAGTGTATATTTTTATTCCTGTTATTATTGGTACGTATCATTTGTCCTTATCAGCTTCAATAGCAAATGGTTTCTGTCAACATCTTTCCTACCAAAACTTATGTGGAAAATATGTGCTGCCATGGCAAGACGTTTACTCCTTACATTAACAAAAGCAGTGGGTGAGTGTTGGTGTTTGCAGGAGTCAGAACTCTTGCTTGTCGTCTTTCCTTCACCGTCTCAGGGAAATGCCGCGTTCTTTTCTAAAGAGTGAGGAACAGCTAAGAGATCAATGGCTTTTGCATAAGCAAAAGAAATTATTAAGAACTAAGACAGACGCAATTTCCACTAATTTCATATTGGGTTAGAGTATCAAATAAAATAATGTTATAATTTCTAATCTTAGCGGCTTTAACTCGGGGCCTGCTTGAGATCTTTCTAAATAGACCATTTCTTACAATTTTTGGATAACTATCATAATGAGCTAACCTGAAAATGAAACCATAACGCGGTTTTGCAATACTTAGTTCGAAGCTTCATATTTCCAATATATTTGGGCAAGTTGGAATTTTTTTTGAATTAAGTAATTTCCTTATCTTGTTTTGGATTAATGATAAAGTGGGGTTCTTAGGTTTGGAGGGGGTCAAACCCATACTCACACTTGGGAAATTATGAACCTTTGTAATGTGTGTTAATCAACCATATATCACAGTTGAAACTGGCTCTTGCTGCAGAAGTTGTCAATTCAAGCAAAAGAATGGAGTTATTTGTGCATCTTTTAGACCAAACACCACCAATATTGGAGGGTAAGCTCTTTATAGACATGATGGCCTGGGGGCCTATCTTACACTTTCACTATGCATTTTATAAGCAAGAGGGACCTCAATTTTCTCGACTTTATTACGTATGAATTATATGTCAATGTAACTTTGCAACTTGGAATAGCTATAGTTATTTCCTTTTCTTTTAAAATGAGAAATCTTGCTTTTTCTCTGAAACCCAAGTGTTCTAGCTGAATCTTATTCAAACACTTGGCAATGCAAGTTGGGAACATTAGAATTTGGATTGATAAAGTGTAGACTATACCCACTTATCAGCTTAAAGTCCAATGGAACCAAAGCCTCTGCATACCTATGAAAATCTGGATAAGAAAGCACCTATCTGCAACCTGAAAGAACCACTAGAACCAGGATCAACATTTCATATTTAGGACTGTGTCTTTTCATAGTTCCAGGACCATTATCTTTTGATCAGTGCATGTCCGATGGCCCCCTTTTTTGGGATAGAGAAGTGTCTATGAGTAAATGCCACTTGTTTTTCCAACAAAAATGCAAATACTATAGTAAAGCTATAAGGAACAAAAAGTTCATTCACCATTACTACTAATTGACTCTTGAAATAAGCTTTACTTGCATATATCTTAATGGTTTCAATTAGACAGAAAAAAAAAGGAGTAATAATTGGACCCGGGCACGTGGATTTGTAATGGAAGAAGGTTTATTTGATCATGTGGAAACTTTCACTTTGGATTGTTCTGTTTCTGCAGCTAAAACACCCAAAAAAAAAAAAAAAATTTGTTGTAAAGACTTTTTGCGACCCAGAAATGACCCTAGTCTTCTGTAAAATTGGTGACAGCCAACGTGAAGCCCATTAGAACTTGCCCCGTGGGTCACGCACCACTGCCTCATTGACATTCATGGACCATTTACCTTCTTCTTGCCCTCAATAATGTGGACCCGCTCTCACCCTCTCTTCCTTCCCCTCTGGTTCTATCCCAACTTCATTCATTTTCTAGGGCGTACAGATTATAGCTGAAACCCTGAAAGTTACATCTACCAAACTGATAGATTCGAGTTAACAGATATGGAATGGCTTTGCTTCAGTCTATAACTTAATTCTACAAACTTCCAAGTTCCAAGATTGACTTTACCAGACAAAGCTAAGCCAAGTCTTCCTTGGTCTGAACTTGCTTGTTTCCAAACCCTTTGGAAATTTTGAACACATGCATTAATGGATGGAACATTGAAGTCTCTTACCAAGCTTTTTCCAAACCGTATTCTTTCACCCCTTAGAGAAAGAAAATAAAAGTAAATGTGAAAACGTACTCTGGTATATATGCGACAAAACATAACCATTTTTCTGCAATCATGCAGTAAAAATTTTGAAAATCTGTTGTTTTTATGTTTAAAAAGATAGGAGTATAGTCAGCTAAATTTATGTTCAGTGCAAAGATCAGGAACCCCGGTGAAGCACGAGCCACAAAGTCAAAAGCCGGACCAAGTTGTTTAAGACAGTAGTTTTTCAGCTTTAATAATTGACAGACCAATGCTGGTTTTTCTGACAAACTAATTTCATTTCAACATGTGCAACATGATCATTATCGTATTGATGAAATTATACAAATTTTCTTTTTTTTTTTTCTAGACCTCCCAATCGTATAAATAATTAATGTTGACGGTAGACTTGATAGACTGAAAAAATCACAAGCCCCTGCAAACTGCCCCAATAACTGATTATAAGTTGGAAATTTGGAGTTAGATGAACAAGTAGTCAATTAATTGCTATATTCCCATTATTATGAGTATAAGGTTCGAACGAATCATCCCTTTTAAAATCAGAGATATGTTTTGGAACAGTTTTCTGACTATACAACTGGGACCTATATAATTATTGCAACTTGGAATTGGTTTTCCATAAACTCGTGAAAGGCATGGCATGGGAAGTAGTATTGGTCGACATATTTAAAGTTGATAAGTAATCTGGTCTTTTATACCGTGTTGGGGGGAAAGACTCTCACCGTATCATATTTGCGTTTTATGATTTGAATTCAATCGAAAATAAACATTCAACCAACATATTTGAAAATACCCTTTTGTTTTTCCACAATGTATAAAATAATGCTTATTCAAGTTGGAATTAGTCTCTTAATTAACTTTATCTCTTTAAACATTTTACACGAACTTGTTACTTTCTTTTTCTAACTTGATGATGATGTAATATTTTCATCTTTTATTTATTTTACCTTTAGACTATAGTGCAATATGTTGAAAGGATAACAAGTTAAAAAAAATAGAAGACACCCACCGCATCATAATTGCGTTTTATGACTGAACTCAATTGAAAATGAACACTTAATCAACAGATTTGAAAATACCTTTTTTTTCCACAATATATAGATTAATGCTTATTAAAGTTGGAATTAGTCTCTTATTTAACATTATCTCTTTAAACATTTTGCATCAACTTCTTACTTTCTTTTTCTAACTTGATGATGCAGTACGTTGAAAGGATAAAAAGCTAAAATTTTGTTTGTGAACTTGGAAAATCAAGTAAAAATGTGCAAAAGTAGAATGCTGGCTACGTGAGCCGCAGCAGTGCATGTACATTATATATGAGGAATGATGTAGGTAAATATATATCATAAATTTCTCGCAGAGAAGTTGAAAAAGATGATGCCGTGATCTCTTTTACTTGCATTACATGTCCTCAACTATACTTTTATGGTAACCAGATTGCTGTGGCAGAACTATGGCCTAGCAAAACTTCTTGTAGTCAACAATCAACGGGAGCAAATAATTGACTTCTAGGGAGGCATGGTTCCTTGGCATGGCCATATCGCAGATACCCAAGATGAATGCTGTATAAACTGCATAAGATACATGCATGCATGCATACATTTATAGCTTTACCGTGTTTTGCATGCATCATGCATGTACAATATTTATACATATGCACTTCGATATATAGCTGGTTCATATAGACAGGCAATAAACAAGATTAGCAAGCCTGTTAATGGATTGATACACCATTTTTGGACGAATTAAGTGCAAAAACTAAGCCAGTAAGAGAATAAGAAGAAGAAGAGGGAATTTCTGAGAAAGTGTAAGTTTAAGTCCTATAAAATCACAATCTAGGTGGGAAAATTAAAGCTGAAGCTGCCTTAGAGGACACCAACACAGAAACAATGAAACTTAGGTCCCTTCGAAAATTGTCGTCTATTCTCTGGTAATATTAGACCATTGAACATAACTTTAGTCCTTTCACTCACTTATGAGGGAGACAAACTGCCGCTGAAGGCACGCTTTGTTCACCCAATTAGTCAAAGATTTTTAGTTGGGGTGACTTTGGTGGGAAAGTTCTAATTATTTGGTTTTTGTAAGGAGAAGCAAACAAAGAAGGGCCATCGATAAAATTGTCCTTATCTTTGGCATTTCACATGAGGGAACAGTCCAGGCCGTATTGAAAGTGATATCTATCTTTCTATTGCAGTACTGCTAGCTATATAACTTCAATTTTTCTGCATTCTTGGGATTCCTTTTTTAAGTACTCTTTTGTCTTTTACATTTACAGCTTGGAAATAAGCATCATTCAGATATATATGAATATAGGATAATTGTGAAGTCGGTATCAAGCATGAACGTACAGCTGAACTTAAGAAATCACTGCCATATTTCGTTTTCATTGCTTGGGATTTGGCCCGATCTTATATCAATAAAAAATTATCTGAGATACTCGACTATCAATCAAATATTATAAACTCACCCTTTCATACTCAGCTCAATGTCTAAGCAAAATAAAACGCTGAAGCTCTTCTGCTTTCAAAGAAATGGAATCAGCTTAAAGCAGGAAACGAGATTTTTATTGAGATAGGGAAAACAATTACTCAACCCTTCACTTGGAAACAATGGCAGCCACTTGAATCTTGTAGGATTGAGATTGCAGTGTTTTAAAAGCATAAATTGACTGAAAACATGAAAATTTAAGCAAAAATAAGTCATCAAGAACATGTTTAATGACACTGACCCGATTTAGGTCTGGTACGGTTTCGACAATGATGGACAGGATAAGGGGAACATCATCACTGGGATATTGGTCTCGGTTTATATCAAATATCAGACATGCATCAAGGTCTTATTCCATCCGTAGCTAGGACCAATAATGGACCACCCGAGCAGACCTTTCTATCAGTTTCTAGGTAACTTTACAGAAGCCTCATTGGCACTAAGCAGTGAGCAGACAACAACCACAAGAAGTGAGGTGATATAGCTAGGGATAAAACATTCTTTGCTGCTCTAGACATGAAAGAAAATATTACAGTACCGGAAGCCCAACTGATAACTTGGGCCACATGTTGCAGTAATTGAAACAAAGGTAAAAATAAATTAGGAACACCTGTCTTTTCTTGTTGGTGGGGAAAAATCAATAGTTCTTCTAAATCTAAGTGGTTTGCAAGAACCATGAGTTACAATTATCAATGGAGCAAAAAAGGCTACCACGCATTTCAGCTAGCTTGTTGCAGCTAATACCAGAGAAATGTTGTGATTCAAAATAATATCAATTAAAGAATGCATCATATATATCGGATGGAATTCAAAAGTAGGCTAATGAAAGCCAAATAAATATTTTATACCAAAATTTAAACTATTCTACTAAACATTTAATCAGTTGCACTATGGAACTCCCTAACGATGAAGAAATTACTAAGTAAAGGAATCAGTGATATGACCTTAGGTGAAAATTTTGGCACCTGGGGCTATATGAGTTCTTTTCTGCGCCTGATTGAACTTTTTGGCTGCAACTTCATTTTCTTCTGAGCTAGTCTGGACAAAGTATCGTGCCCACCAAGACGAGCTCCTGATCAATTTAGCCTTTCGAAATCAAGAAATCACTTCAGCATGTCACATTACTAATGTAGAAGTCATGGAAAGCACAATCCACTAAATACCATTATGATTTAAATCTCGAAATTTGAGACTAGTTAACCATCTCAACCATTTGTTACTTATTACAAAAAACATGGATATAAGTACATGTTTTAATGTTCGGTAAAAAGAATGTTAAGATAACTCAAATTGCAGAAATCAAGCATTATTTAACTGCTTTCAACCCTTAACAAATATAAGATACATGGAAACTTTAATTGGGAAAAGCAACCTGTTACACTATAATAGTATTTGGTATGGAGTGATCTATCCATAGTAATTAGATTATTGTATTTGATAAGCATTCATAATCTTACGTAACAGTAATTTTGAATTTGAATGGTAATTTAATTCTCATATAAAATAATAAAAAACTTTTATTATTGGGAAGAAATAATATATAAAATTAATAATATTTAATATTACTTATTTAATATGTGAATTAAAATTTTAATTTTTCTTAAAATTGTAATTATTTTATATTATAATTTTTATATTTTCAAAGTAATATTCATCATAACAAGTTTAAAAATAATTGTATTTTTATTTTTTTAATATTTTATATATAATTTAATTTTTTATTTTTCTTTTATTATGAATTTAATAGATTAGATTTATTTTCTAATTCAATTTTTTTTACATAATCTATATTATAAAAAATTAATTTACCTATCAATAAATATATTTATTAATTTAATAATTTATTATATTTTATTATAAAATATTACTAATATTTTACAAATTATTATCTTTAAACAATATTAAAATTATTAATTTGTGTAATTATTACAATATGCATAGTTATTTTCATACTTTTAAACAAAATAATATTTGATTTTTTGTAATATCTTTCACAAAGATTTTTAATTCATAAGAATTAATAATTGTTAACCAAATAAAATAATTTCAAATCACAAGTAATAAGATCACTTTGATAAGAAAATTACATCGGTGATTACATTATCATGGTGGTCTTACCAGAACTACCAAACTCTACCTATAAGTAGTACAATCTTTAAGGTTGTGAAAATTAACTAAAGGTCTCCACATTTTCCTAATTGCTGTTTTGGTTACAGAAAAAAACATGTTGTATACATTCACATACGTCTACAGAAGTCAAATTACATGGAAACAGGAATCTATCTCCAGAATTCTACATATTGGCACTTGCAACAGATAAATGAAAAATAATGTATGGTCCATACAGCAACGATGGAAAGGAGATGCTCTTCAGATTTAGTGTCGCACCTCTCAATAATAATTCAGCCTATAAGACTTAAAACTTTAAAACAAAAGATTACTTCAAACTAGCTGAAAAATGCTAAAGCCTCAAGAATATGCACCAAAGATACTCCTACATGCCCCAAATCGGGAGACAAAAGGTATCAAGACCAAGCTCCAAGTAAGAGGATTATTTTAACCTTACAGATTACATCAAATGTTCCTGGTTTCTGATATATTATCATAAAATGCTATTAACATCTATGCCAAAAGAACACATGATAATAGTGTTTTTATATTGTCATTCATTATATAACTTCTGCTGGGCTTAAACAAATTTCATTAAGAGTGAGTCAAAAGGAGAAATTGAACAACTGGTCAGCAAGAAAAACACAAAGAAATTGAAACACTCAATACCACTCACACCCAAGCAATGAACAAATCATGTCCCTCTGCATACCTGCTTAACCAACCCACAGCCAAACAATTCTTTCCCCTTAGATAGACTGGAATTTGACAGACTTTAAACCATTGACTAGATAGTCTATCTCATTGAAGTGCATTCAAAGTTTCAAGTCTGACAACTGACCATAGAAAGTTCTACTTGACAACATTCATTTAACAGGCCAGAGGCTATCCAACAAAAAAGGGTAGCGACAGTGTCCATGTTCCTGTTGATTGTCAAGGCTTAACAATTTATATCAAGCAGTAATAAAGGAACAAACTGATAGCCACTTACCGCCCTTCCATATTTTGACACCTCTGCAGCTTTAGCTTTCCTTCTGACCTAGTAAACCTATATTTGTAACAATCAGAGAGGTCCTTGGCATGTCAAAAGGTTCAAACTATTTCTTTGTTGTCACATATAGCAAATTAGCTACAGAAACACAGCTATAAAAGCTTAATGCATTCTTATATATAACGTAGAATGGACAATGTTCTATTAAAAGATGGACACAAAGAAGAAGATGGTGATGATTTGCATACAGCATATAAGAAAGAAGTAAAGGTTGGCAGTAGATCTAAACAAAGAATCAATGAGAAGTCCACCAATAGAAAATTGGCTAAATTTGGCAAAGAAGAAAAAAACGAAGTGGTTGAAACCATCAGCAAGCAAGCAAAGATCATTATGGGATAGGAAGGCACATATAACAGGAATCAGAATAAAACTAAAGCTTCTTTTACCTGTAAATATTACAACTCCATCAGCCAATACCCTTGCAAAATCTGGAAGTGTCTTGTTGAGATATCTTGGAGACAAGTAATCAATGCATCCGAAACAATTACAAGAGGGAAAGATTTCAGCCAGTATGGAAGAGGAAATTTGATGTCAGACAAACGCACAATGCCATTATGCACTAGTCATTTGCAGTTAGTATCAGCATACGGCTCCACACCAGCATGCAAAACTTTATGCATGCTATCACCATATGCTTTCTTCAAAATAGAAATTGCCCGCCGAACCTCAAATGTGCAAGAAAAATCACCTGCACATGAAGATCAAATCCTATCTTAAAACAAAATGTCACTTATCTAATAGTGTATCAAAAGGCACAAGGAAATGATGCCTCAGCTAAAACATATCATTAAGATTTCGCATCTATAAACAGATCCTTAGCAAATCTAACCAATTCTACTCGAGCAAGAAAACCCCAAATTACTAATTCATCTTTATAAAATATCAACAAATAAACGCAAAATGTCCTATGCATATAAATCCAAGATGCGCACTTTGTTTATACGCAATTCAAAGAAAATATGCAGCAATGCCGTGTGGTATAGCATAAAAATAAGCACCAATATCCTATTGTTAAGTACAATTAAAGAAATTTTTAAAGCAAAAAAGAAAAAATACCTTCAACTCTGGTAACAGGTTCCTTTACGCCTCCGGAAGGACCTATTTGCAAGAAAAAAAAAATGATTGAGCAGCTAGAAATGTGAAAGCTCATAATGGATCATTTATTACAGATTAAGTAATTAATCAAATCTTAATTGATGAGCTTAATAAAAAAAAAAAAACGAGCCGCCGTGAAAATACGCGACAATAAGCAATGCGCCCTGAAAATTAAAAAAAAATTAAAAAGACAAAATTTGTAGAATCATAAATAAATAAAAATGAATGATTTTAAAGGAAAATCATTATAACATAATTTGAATATGATTAATTAAATTAATTGAATCACATTTTGTGATTGTAGATCCGTAAGAAAGAATTAATGAAATGAATTATTATTAATTTCTAATAACATTCAAAAAAAAAAAAAAGAAAAGATGTGGGGTGAAAGGCAGGCGCGTGACGTCCGGATCCAACGGTTATGAATATTCCTCAACGGGAAAGCCAAGCCTTATAGTCTTATTTGGCCCAATATTAGTCCCATTAAATGAATGACACGTGTACAATGTTGGGGCATTAATCAGGTAATGTGTTATAGAATCAAATTCAAAGTCAGTGAAAGGTATAAATTTTCTGCAGAAAAATCACACATAAAAATAGCAGAAAAGAAAAAGAAAAGAAGAAACCCTAACCATGCGATTAGGTTTGGGATTGGGATTGAAATTGAATTGAAGCAAAGGGATTGTTGAAATTTCAGCATTCAGGTAAATTGGGGAATCGAAAGTAATGGGGGGTGAGGATGCTGACGGGGATAAAAGTAAGCAATGGTCGTCTCCAAACAGGGATTATAAAGGGAAACAGGAAGACCCCAAACTTTGGGGGATTTTCCTCTTTGGCTTAATTGGCGCCACTGCCACCACTTTCGCTGTAAGTTCTTCCAGTTCTTTTAAAGTTTCCGTCTTTTACGCATTTTAATTGATCGTTTTAGAATTTCATGTTTAGTAAGCTTTACTATTAGGGGCTTTTGTTTAAATTTGATTTCTCGGCCTTAAATAAAATTTAAGAAGAAAGTTTGGGGCTTTTTTTGGGGAATGGAAATAAATGATCTTAGCTTTTCTTGCAAGAATAAGTTTGTGTTCGTGGAAGCAGCTATTTGGTAGAGTTACCCATTTGATGGTAGTTGCAATCTGGCAGGTTAGTCAGCTGAGGAGGTCTGTTGATTGGATATATACTCAGGTATACCGAAAAGAAGTTCTTTCACGATTCAGCTCTCCATAATCCCCTATTATTATAGTTGAAATACGGACTTGTCCAGGGAAAATCTTTCCTTATATACTTCATCTTCAGTATCTTCATTGTTTTCTTTAAGGGAATGGTGGAAGAAAATATTTTTTTCTTAAAATATTCAATTGTTTTGTAATATTTTAATTTAAACCAGGATGGTGATTGAATTGCTTTTGTAACTACGAATTTAGATTCTTGGCTAGTTGTTTTTCTGAAAAAGAAATACTGTTAATAGGATGATATGCATTTTTCCAAAGTAAAGATAAAATGGATTTAAAGAGGAAGATTCACTTCTATGGGTCAGTCTGAAATCAAAATTATTGTTTTGATGCTGTGAGCGCTGCTATAATGTGCTAATAGTGTTGAAGGTCTTGATAACATTTTATCAGGCATAAATACATATGTTTTCCTGTGCTGATATTTTTAGATTTTAAGGATATGGTTTAGCTGTGCTATTTTTCACTACTGCCTTGTTGAGTTTTTTTATGGGTCTAGTATGTTGGTATCTTATAGATTAACTTGATATCATAATAAAGTATCATGCACAATGAGAAATGTCGATTTATGCCTCGAAACAGTTGAATAGAGGATTTCCTATTTCTCTTATGTATTCCCCAATCTTATAATGTGTACTTGCACCATGAAAGTTAGCCAGGTCACAATCATCACAGAGAGGAGGTTCTTTTCGAACATCCTTTCAGGGGGAAGCATGGAGGAGGTATAATCGTCGAATGCAAGAAGAGTATGAGGAAGAAATGGAGAGAGTGGTAAGTTTTTGGTTATGTTATAGCATTCTCTATATTTTACTGTCATACTCTTCCTATAGGTCTTGCAACATGGTTTAGAAGCATTAGTTTAGGTTGTTTTAAATGGCAATTTCTTATAGGCAATTATATATGATCTTTGAAGGAGGGATAAGTTGTAACATTTAGTATTTAATGATGGTGAAAACTTGTGTCTTGGGAATTTTTGAATCTCTGGGAGATATACCCCAGCTTCATGTTGCTATTTGTGCCACCATCAGAAAATCTATTGTGATTTGGTACATTGGTTAGAGAAAAGGTGAGTCAGTTGGAAGGATAGTCTAATGTGCAATAGCATTTTCGTCTTTCAACACCAATCATGTTACTCTATTTTAGTACTTGCTATTCCTAGTCCGTAATATTTCCTAGCAATTTCAAAGGCTGGGGTTGGGGGTAGGTGGGGCGGGGCTGCTAGCACCCACCCCACAGCTTCAGCCCCGCTTATATTGATTGCTTATTTACTAGACCACTGTGATATCATCATATTGTTAATTAATTTCTGCTTCTCTTTATAGGAGCGAATAAGGCGCATGCAAAGTGTGTTTAACAGGGAGCGAAATAAATACAAAAGGAGCTATGAGAGCTGGAAGGAAAATGGACCCGGTGCTTATCATCAGCACTTCCAGCGAGATGATTGGTATTGGAAGGCAGAAGCATCTTACAGAGATCAAAGGACCAATTACAGGCCACCTCAAAGAGATAGCGCAAGCTATCCATTATCACATCACTACTCAGTTTTAGGTCTTGACAGGTAATGCTGCTGTAACATAGGCGTTAATATGTTCTCTTCCATCCTATTCTTATCAGCTTAGCCAAGAGCTCAACTGATAATTCAGCAATGATAAATTGATAATTGACATTTCATGACTTGCTTTTCTCCCCAGGGCCAGAACAAAACCATATACAGAAGATGAGATTAAGGTATACTTAATTATCTTTAAAATGCTTCTATATTGCTGCTGTTATTTTGAGGTATAATTTTTTTTTCATTTTTTAAAGTAATATTATAATAGTTATGTTTGTGATTGTGTTATTGGCTATATATCATAACATTTCGGGTGCATCTTGATCAAAAGTTGACTTGCTTTAACTTTTTCCAATATTTGATAACTAATTAGTGAAATTAAACCCGAGCTTGTCTTAGCCAGTTGATACCTCAATCTTCACAAGGTGGACAGATTGCAAATTTATGCTAATGGTCATCAAATTGCCATCTTGCTTTATTAATTAAGAATATTTTGTCAGACTAAGAAGTCTGAATGTCTTAAGTTTTTGGATGTTTGTTTTCAAGCACAATAATATTCACACAAATTCTTCTTGTAATACTCTCTGGATATGTGCTTGCATTTAAGTTGCCCGCATTCTATTCTTTGATATATTACATTGTGACTAAATCACATTTTTGTCGACACCCAAATCATATTCCCCTAGGTGGAACACTCCTGCAAAACCCTTGTTATAAATACTATTCATTTAAGGGTTAGTTTATTGCAATTTTTGCTGGCCTTTTGTCATTATTTCTTACTTGATGTATTGTCAGTTAGCAGTTAACGCTTACCTGTTTTATATGGATTGATATATCAATCAAAGAACGTAATTGAAAATCTGGGATTATTATAGTTTCTAGACGTTACTGGATTTTATGTCCTGCCTGTGATGATAAACTGATTACAATATCCTTCTGCAGACAGCATTCAGGGTGAAGGCAAAACAGTTCCACCCAGATCAGAACCAGGACAATAAAGGTGACATGTGTTGGGCAGTTATTACTGAAGTTATAATCCTAACAGCATTGCTTTGGATTGTTCATTTAAAGTTTTATTCCTTGTGCTTTATTTCAGAAGTTGCTGAGGCCAAATTTAAAGAGGTAATGTCCTCCTATGAAGCTATAAAAGAAGAAAGGAAGAACATGAGGGTATAAAAACCTGGCTAATTCTCTGAAAGATTTGGGAATGAAGAGCTAGAATAGGGATGTAGAAATTCAAAACCCTATACTTATACCTTTACTTTTCGGTTGGAGAGTTCACACTCATTGCTGCCGATCTTTTTTTTTTCCTTTGGAATTAACTGAGTTTATGCGGATGTTGTATCTCTAGGCTGTTACTGAGGGATGGATGATGATTTTTTGTTTTGCATGCATAATACAGTGGGGAATGGTAATGTATTTATAAGGGCATGATACCATGCTTCTAAATCCCTCAGTTGGAATTTCTTTGATTCATGCAGAGAGAAATCATGATTTTGTTTGTTTATATCTTTACTCCAAATTTCTCTGATGAAAGTATGTCAAATTTCTTGGTAATTTTATCATAAAACTGTGTTAGTACGAATTTAATATCAAGTCAATTTTAATTTCTTGAAGAAAATAGCATATTTCGTCATTATTATGGTTGAATCTGAGATGAAAGTCAATTTTAATCAGAGAATTCTTCGTTGTTGTTTTAACGAAGAGATGATCCAACGAGGCGATTGGGGTTGGCAAAGGCATAATGTTACTCATTCATTCACTGTCTTCTGCCCATCTTGTGCCCATGGAGTATTGACCAGCCACATGCTGCCAAATGGGATTGGCAACAAAGATCTTGTTCCGCTTCCCCATTAGCCAGAGAAAATGTTGCTGGCACCAGCCAAAAACAGAATATATCCGTTGAATTCAATTATTCAAATATTAAAAACATGTTTCAATGGAGTATATATATGATGACAGAGATCATAACTGCCCAACCCAAGTGGCTGAAATGGAAGTCGGGAATTCGAATTTCTCTTCCCCTACCTACCCCACAAAGAAAAATAACAAACACGTCTTATGACAGACAGATAATGAAACATGATAAATTAAATAAACAAATCATTGTATAAAACAGGAGCGTTTTCCTCATCCAAGATTCATTCCACCACTTTGGAAAAACATTATACACTTAGATCTCGGATTTTTACAGCCTAAAGAATGAGGTTCTTGGTTGACCAATTACCTTCCCCACAACTTGGAAAAGGTGGAAGACAAATGAGATTACAAACTAGTTTGACATCTGGATCTCAAAGAGGAGGAGCTCTGTAATATGCAGGAACAGTCACCGGGAAAAACATTTGCCTAACTCCTTCTGCTTTGATAATGGGGAAGATGATTCCTGATGCTCCCTGGCACCATATTTTATAAGTAACAAAATATTAATATAAACTGATGATGACAAATAAAATAATGGAGTTATCATATCAAGTAATGCCAAAAGACAAAATCAAAGAAAATGAAAGGGATAGGATCCACACCGAGATCAATCTAGCCCCAATCCAGATTCGCTTAGGTGAAGGGAAAGGTAACAGTAAACGACCAACACCATATATTGCCACAGCAAAGAAATGCAGAACCAAGCTCAAGGGGCGAGGGTTCAAACCGGAGAGCAAAGAGATAGGTCCTGTTGAGAATACACCACCAAGGCTTAGATAGTCGAAGCAAGCTTGACGCATTTCCTTCCTTGCTTGATCAGGTGAAGCACAGAACACCTTGTACAAGGCACCTGCCAAGGTATTGATAGTGGATGCCACAGGCTGCGAAACGTCACATCAAAATGAGTTCACTACAGTAATATGAAATTATATTATACCATAAAAAGGGAGAAAGTTTAGTTAAATTTTGAATTCAACATTTTGAAATCTGATTAGAGAATCTTGGCACATCAAAACCAGTAACGAATGGAAATCAGCTTATTAATATAGTTTACCTTACGCAAGGTGTAAAATGATTCAAGATATTTGCAGAGGGTAGGTGCATCATTGAGGTCATGCAGAGGCCTTAGTAGATCACGGAGGACAACAATGTCAGATAAAGCCACAGTCATTCCTCCGCCAGTTAATGGATGGCGCATGTTGAATGCATCACCCATTAATAGGGCTCCAGGAGTGGGATAAGGAGAGGCTGGCATGCTCCTGTTCGGCATTGTCCTAATATTTCCCTTATCAACCGCTGCTACAAATGAATCATAGATTTCTGGGGGAACCTATTGCATATGCAGCATATTGTCAATCCAAGAAATCATTAAATATAATAGATAAATCAAACATAAATTCAGATATCAAGAGTAAAGAAAAACTTCAATAAGGAGTTAAAATATGCAGAATTAAGAGCAGTTAAATACCTGAGGAGCCACGATGGTCTTCAGATAGTTTGCCATCTCCCCATTTGCAATAGAAGGAACCTTCTGACCAGGTACATCAACCAGACAGCGAACCTCTGTACTGCTAATAGGATAGAACAAAATAGGGGAAGGATCTGCTAGTATAACATGCCCATGATTTGAGTATGGAAGATGGCAATTCTCGAGGACCAATCCCACAAAACAAGAGGGTATATCTACCTGCAGGTTATAAATTAGGCCTTTTAAAATTTTAAAATTACTTGTTTATTTCAAACATTAAAAAAAGGGAACAAAAAAAAGATACTATGGGGAATTTACATTTTCTCGACCATCAAAACAAAAAGTTGATGGATCAACTCACCTTAGGGTTGCAAAGAGAGCGACGCAAGTTTGAAAAACAGCCATCACAAACAATGGTCAGAGGTGCAAATGCTGTCAATTCGTTGCCATCTTTAGTTTTGTACTGCACTCCTTTGATTGTCCCTTTTTCTTCAAGTAGAGAAATAACTGTCCCTTGTTCTAAACGTACACTGGTAAAAAAAAAAAGGGAAAAAACTATATAACTACCTTAATAGTGAATTATTATTTGTTACCATAACACTACCTTAGGCAGTTCAAATTTTCATAACATTGAAGCATCATTATAGGTCACTGTTTTTAAACACTACAAAGTTTGACCAATGAATATGAGGAACATAAAAAAAAATAATTGATTAGTGGAAAATACATACTTGGGAAGAGAAGCTGATTTCTTCCGCATCCTCTGAATGAAACGTCCATTGTGAAAGCTCCTACCAGATACATCTGAGTGGAACTTTTCTAAGGGATAAGAAAGTTGGGTATGTTTCCCATCCTTGAAAAGAGCATAACCAAATACCTGCTGAGCATCAATTTCCTCCACACAATCTGCAGTCAGGAAATAAAGAAGACTCATTGAACTCATTCTGTCATCTATGAAAGTAATCAAGGATAATTAATGCTTAAAATATCAACAAATTCATAACCAAACATGAACTTTAACCCCATGAACATCTCTAAATAATCAAACAATTCAATATTCACCTACCTTCAAGCCCCAACTCAATTAACTTGAGATAGCCCCCTGGTTGTAGCAATTCCCCAACAATACGGTCAGGCTCTGTCAAGTCTCTTTCAACCACATGTACTCGACGTCCATCCTGTGATTTATACCACATAATCAATTTACAGTAGTAATAACTTTCAATAAGAATAGTCACTATTTTATTAAAAAATGCTATTATCCGAAATGATTCTTAATTTACACATAAGCATCCCATTAAAACCTATAAAAGCAAGTTAAATCCTTGAAAAAAAAGGAAATGGATGCTAAATGTACATACATCAGTGAAAATTTTTTAAGAACAAAAACAATTCTAAGGGACCTAGTACACTTATGTGATTATTAATACACTTCTATCAATTAAATTGGATATCATCCATAAAAAGTTGTCATCAGAACAATGAACCGGCGCATAGGGAATATGAGCAGAGATTAATTTGGCTGGATGCCTAAATCCTTGAGTAAGGGCTAGAATTTGGTGGCTAAATCAGCATCCTCAAATGATAATAAGTTCAAAGATAATAAATACACGAGAGTGGGGACAGACAACTTGGAAAACCAATTGTAATATATATTTGTTATTACAGCAACAAAAAAAAAATGTCTACCTTGTCCAAGGCAATCTTCCTTTACAGCTCTAACACAAGATTATATTTAATTGACAGTGATTAATCATGTAGAAATCGAGGTCTACAAATTGCTAATAGCAACAGATGGTTCATTTTCTTTAAGTTCATTTCGGCAAAAGCCTCCAATTATGATTGGTATAAGTGGTAACTGGTAACCGGTAAGTAGGCCTTCTTTTAAAAAAAAAGAAAGTCACAGATATGAACCAATAGTGAAAATTTGTAAAAATGGTAAATACTGATTTGTAAATTTAAAGCTTGTAAATCACTCCTAGAATCCATGGCGGACAATTTCGTAAGTTTTTTTTCTTGAATAATGCGCATTTAAAAGTTGCATCATATTCTAACAGAGAAACATAAAAAATTAAAAGGATAGTAAAATTATATAAACAAATCTCGAAAGAAAATTAAAAAATTAAAAGGAAAAGGTGTATAGCGTTTTAAACAGCGGAAGGTTCCAGAAAGTGCAGGGCAAAAGAAAAAAAATCACCTCAACCTCTTCAAAAATGAAAGGAAAAAAATAGTGAAATGAAGAAATCTTTTACTAGTTCCTGATTGGCTACGGAGAAAAATGCAAAGAAAGTGGAGGAAAATGTAAAAAGCACCTTGCCGAGAGTGTGAGCGAGGGCGGAGCCAGCAACGCCAGCCCCAACGATGATGACATCAGCGTCGCTGCCGTCAGCGGATCTGCATCCTCCGTTACTCGTTGGGACGCTATTCACGGACTCAGTCACCGTGGCGGAGATTCCGTTCCCTTTCCGTCTCTTCAAAATGACACCGCACAACGCGACAAGCGCCATCAATGAGCACAAGACCCATCCCAACACGTAAGATTCCGCCATTTTTTCTCCTCCGAATGCCAAACCTTAAAAGAAACAAACGCTCCGCCCAAAAAACGATGACGTCGAGAGCGAGAGAAAGAGAAAGTCGAATCTCCCTCCCTCTCTCTGTTTGCGGTTTTGATTTCCTCAGTTGGTGTTTTTTTGTGCGTTTGTTTTGTCCTGGGGGAGGAGGGTAGTGCTTTGATTCATAAAGGCTTTTGGCCTCGCTTCGCTTGCTATATTTGTTTGTGTATTTGAAACGCTATGATAACCAGAGCATGGGAAAACAAAGGTGAGAGGGTGGGCCTTTTATAGTCCACACACCACAAAGTTTACAACTTACGAGTCACCTGCCAGCCTAGCTCTCACGTGTCATATTCTTGCTAGCTTGCGCCTTCTATGAAGTTGGGCGTAAACTACGCAACCCTTTTTCTAATTTCATTTTACCGAGTTTTAACTTTTTCTAATAATTCATAATTGCCCCGGTCCTTGAGCTACTTTGTTTTTTTCTTTCCTCTTTTTATGGCTTTTTTTTTATTATTATTCATAGACTTAAAGTCTTGGTTAATGATACGTATTAATCTTTGTAACAAATAATATTCCAATCAATGAAGCAATTATTTTTATTCGTATATGTGTGATTTACAACTTTAGTCGAATTTGAGTTTCATCCGCAGTCTCACGTAGAGAGGGTAAGCTAACCCGTCTCCGACGGATTTCGATTCGACTCGACTCCACAGGATCAATTTTTTTTTTTTGAAATTCGGGTTTCGAGGTCAGGTCGGATCGGATCGGATAAAATAATGAAACATTCAGGGTCGGATTTTCTTAAAATCTGATCCGATTCGATATTATATAAAAAATTATTTTTTAATTAATT